CTGTGCTTTGAAAAGCCATATTTTTGTGAATGAACTTGGATTTTATTCAGTCAGTGAACCGAGAGATGTGAGGAGACGTGAACTATGTAAGTAAACAGCCCCCCATCCCAGCATGGACGCTTCTGATTGGTGGAAAGGCAATGAAAATTGGGGGTGGAGGGCGGTATTCTGATTGGTCATGCTTTTTTTGGAGTACATTTTACCGCATTTCAAGTCTGTCTGTCCAGAAAATCAGAACAAGAAAAAGCAACATCAAAACTTGTCAGAATCTTCACGCCTTCTTACCTCTTGGACCCAGAGGCTTCGCTTTTATGATGGGCTGGAGGTCAAAGGCCACACCTTTTAAGACCGAAGTCCGCCTTTAAGTAATTTAAATGATTTTACACAATTGTTAATAAAATATCGAGTCAGAAAATTTTCTCCATTTGGTTCATTAAGATGAGCTTTGAAAGGCAAGCGAGTCTCTACATCGGTGGTGGCGGCTCCAAAGGCTTAACCGGCACAAACCAAGAGGAGAACATGAATGCAAACTGCGCTGATCGGATGAAAGAATTTATGAAGTGAGTGAAGAAATGAATGCCAACGTACCAGCCTTTTTTTCATGACGGTACTGCACACAACTAAACCTTGATTTGGCTTGCATTTACTATTTGGTCCTTTTTTTTGCATTCCTCCGCCTTCCAGACTTATCTTCCTTCCTCCCTCTTGTTGTTATGATCGTAAATTACCTGTAAGCATGGACGTTCGAAGCAATGATGCGTTTTGATAACTTGAATATGTAAATTCACAATATTTTTATTCAGTTTTAGAAGTTTGTTTGATTTCCGGTCTTGATGACGATCACCGAGGCGCTCATACAGCTCTGGCCAGATGGAGTGACTTTCAGGTCATGCTACAAGTCGTCATTGTCTTCTCCTTCGGTGCTGTGCCCTTCCCTACCTATGAAGGCGTTGTGGTGGAAAACGAACGCGAGTTTGGATCGATGTCTAGCCTGGTTGCCACCGTTTGTGACAAGATTGGCGGTGTGATGGAGGTGTGTAGTGCTACGAGGGATGGGAGAACCTCGTCTGCCTTCACCATCTCCATGTTTCTCTGTCATGCCATTCATCTTGGAAACGATAGAACTTGTAAATCGCCTGCCAATGCATCGTCTCGGTGTCTTCCTCACTCCAATATACACGCTCGTAGACGTGAGAAGCGTCTTCAGTTCCTTCTTCACTCTCACGGATCTGTTCTGCAGCCGAGCGGAACTTCACGTTCGTTCGAGAGAGATCAGTGAAGTTGGAATCAGCATTCCCCTCGCCTCTATGACGGGGACAGGTGGAAACGATGACTGACGCGACTGTTTCCTGTCAGCACTGCTAACATTGTGATGACTGAGACAGGGGATGTCAACTGAGAGCGCATCGGACGTGTCGGTAAAAGTAGACACTGAGATAACCGAGGCAGAGGCTACACAACGGCTTTGGTAGAGGTGTTACAAGTTTCCATCTCATTCCTCCTTGTCCAACGTATTCATTCAACTCCACTTCTGGCCCCTCTCTTACCCTTTGCCTAAGTTTTGCGACACTGCAATGACTGCCTCAATTTCAGCCTTTCTCGACCTCCAAAGTCCTCCTTTTGCCTTTCACTGCTTCAACACGAAAACAAATCTTCTTCCCAAAAAAAAAGAGGTTAGACAACTAATGGCATGATACATAAGGGAAAGAACATTTTAAGCAATATTGGGATGGAGAATGGAAATGTGTAACCATAGCTACAGGCTTCCTTAATGCACATCTCCTCATTCCAATCCCTTTTTTTGCATTCCATAGCCTTAAATTCAAAGCATTCAAAACATTTACTTGGTGATTAGTTTAGTGCTAGCAATAAATTAATCTGTTTCACTTTATAATCACCTTCCAAATGAGTTGAATGTCATGGCCTTATAACAAAG